CACATCCAGTCAGTTCCAGCCGGTGGGTAAACATATTATTGGTGTGGCTTGGAAGCTTGGGGAGGGCGGCGGGGGAAGGGTGGGGAGTGGGGGGCAAAGGGGCAGCGGGGGAAGGAGAGCGAAGGGTGGGATGTGCTTACAGTTTATAATCTTTATATCGAGTCGTGTGGTAGGTGTTGTTAGGGTTTTTGCCTTTATTAATATTTCACTGGCCCCGAATGACGATCCCGCCCCTGCATCCACGCTTCACCTCCCACCTTGCGATCTGATTTAGGGGAGCGATTCGACCCAATAAAAACAAACGCGATGTTTTTTTCGTTTTGTTGTAACGTTTCATTTGTGAAATATCAACAGTCCGCCCGTTGCCATGGTTGTATGAAGGCCTCTGCCATGCTGTGTTGGCAATAGGAATGGTTTGACCATACTTCACCATACTGGCCGGTGCCAGTTGGCGAAGTGGCGGGGGTGGGGCCCAGGACCGGTTCAGATGCCGCTCGCCACTGACGTTGACCGTGGCCGGGAATCAAACTCAGGTATCCGGGTCTAGAGCACAGTGCATCAAACATCATGCCAAAATTGTCTCTTGCATCGTCCTAAATGTCACCTAAGCAAACTTTTTTGCCGTATATTTTGCTATAAATCATTCAAATTAATATTTCTCACAAATGAGCCTATTCATGTAGCGTCAATGTGAGAATTGATTTTAATCAATGAATCGTTGCATTGCTATTTGCCTATTAAATAGACATCGTATGTACATGGATGCATACTTCGCAACTGCTGGCCCCTACAAATATACTGTATTCAACATGCGCATGGCAATCGTAAATGTACCACAAGATTATTCTCTCTGTAAACAGTGGTCTTTATTGCTGAGTAGCTGCTGTATACCAATACTCATTAACGAACATAGTGACATACATAACTGCCGGGCCGGCTGGGATTCAACGCTCTACGTTGTAAGCTACAATATCTGTATGTAAGGACGTTGACATTTACTGTACCATCGTTCCTTTCAGTGATTCACACCTTGCACAAATATTTAACTGGGTTCTGTGTGTATGTGTAAATATATGTATCGGCCTGCTGGCGATATTTTTTTACTTGTGTGTCTGCTGGACTTGTATCGAGCAAATGTCGGGTTTAATCAAGTGCGACGCACCGACACGTTTAATCTTGGGTAAACCCATTCAGTCCGATGTTCCTTATTTACCGAGTATCCTTTGCAACGATATCAAGCCTTATAGAGTCAACTGTCAAGGCATCTCTAGTTCAGTTGGAAGCGGCATGAGTTGGGCATTATTGCAGCAAAATGCGAGCCACTGTTATTAACGAATATCAGGACGTGAGCTGTAGGACGCTGCTACAACGCAGAATGTAAACATTTTAAAGTGGTCAAGAATGTGGCCCAGCATATGACAGCTCGAGTTCCACAAGGAAGTTTTAAAAGTGCTAGATACATTTTCGCGAAAAAAATCCATTTGTGAAATATGAGTAAACACATTTTTTTAATGTTTTGGGAAGTGAAGCACTTCAACACATTAAGCCAAAATAGGGGCCACATTCACGGTCAAATCAACTTTATCCTCTTTCACCTTCTCGTCAAGGACTTGTCATGTCTTTAGAACTGCTTTTAGTGTTTAGTTTGTTGTCCTTCCCCCGCACCTCTGATGAACACGGTTGGCTACGTAAGCGTGCGAAAGAAGTTCAACAAACATTCACACTTACAGGTTGGCGACCAGGGCCTGTGATGTACACACGTCTCACCCGTGCTCATAGCAAGGGTGAAAAATCTACGGACAACGACTTCATTTCAAACTACCCACGGCCTCTTGAGGCCTACTTCCACTTTGAAACGGCCTGCAAATGGTGTTGAGCCGTCACTGCAAGCATATTGGCTGCACTAATCGGGTCCTAGAGGGTAAACGTTTTCAACCTAGCAACAACGACGACGCTTCGTTTATCATTCGAGCACGCTCAGTCAATTGCCCTCGCCGTAAGCGCCCCGTGCAGTGACAGAAGTAACCGAGGTGTGTGCTCATGTGCGACCCCCCAAAGATACATCTTGAAGTCTTATTCGGCCCTCAGACACCACCCCGGGAGACCGTGTGACTCAGTGCTAACCTAATGCACACCAGTGTTGACACATTGCCACCGCTGTTTGTAAGTTTGATTGTAAACCTGTTTTTGATAACGTAAACTACTCACAATGTTAAAAATATCACTAATATTTACACAACCACCAGTGGTTCCTTCCATTTTAACTGCAGCAGACTCTGATGCATCAAGCTCGATAAGTATAGGTATTTACCATAATATAATCACTATAAAATAGTGCTTTGGGCCAGTACAACAGCACCAATCCTTAAACGAATACCACGGGCATCTTAAAATACCACGACACTTAACACACCACAATTAACACAGAAATCCATTTAAACAATTTATCGTGATAACAGCATATGTATGCATATTGAAATCAATACGAAGTTTCCAATACCTTGGTGAAATGTGCCATTGAACACAATCATCCTCAGACTAACAGCAATGGCATTTTGCAAAGTACTCAACACATTATTTTACTTTAAAGTACTCCTTGCAAGTGTGCAGCACGGTCCATGTATGCGCATTGTACTTAATACAAATAATATTCCACTCACATGGTGCCCTTTTTGCCATTCAACCCAATGGGCCCTGGCCACCAACTAAGTGGATTATGGAGCCAGGTGCAAGCTTCCAGCAGTCAGATCGTTATGGCAGCAATGGGAACATTGTCGGATGGAGATTGCACATCCTCAGAATTCCATACGGTCCTGGCTTTGAATAACCGGTATTCTCAGGCACATGGGGCACTCGGGAAAAGAATTATTTCTGATAGCACGAGGGTGGCAGATGTCATTGCGTCGTAAACATTCACCCAGCCCAGAACATTTCGATTGCTGTATAGCCCAGGGACATCCCAGATTCTTACCGCTTGCTCAAGGAATCTCAGCTGGCATAATCCACTGCTCAAACTGCCAGACTTGGTTGATGTCATGGTCAAGCTTGGACCAAGGCTGAATGTTACGTTAATTCAGTCTACGCTCTTGTACATTTACAGCCCTATTGTCAATCCGCTGCTGGATGAGGGCCTCCCAGTGGCCCTGAGGGTCAGGGGGGTTGTTTGGTCGTTACTTCACCAGGCTGGTCAGTGGCGGGCTGGTGAAGACGAGCACTGTCCAGGAGCATAGAAGTACAAAACAACATCCGGTAATTTGCTGCACCACCCTCGGCTGCTCGCCGTGTAGCCCTGCAGCTCCCTGCCGGTGTATCGTTGCCGTCCACTGCCGAGGCTCAACCCCTGCTTAGCTTGTGCGGGGTATGAAGAAAATTGATGGCAGTGATTTTTGTCATAGTGCTCCCCCCCCCCTCTTGAGTATCGCATGGAGCTCCACAGTGCTTTTCAGTTGTATAACAGCGGTGGCGAATCACCCACACATCTCAAAGAATCGCCCCCCCCCCGCCACCCTGCCTTTTGCCGGGCCCAGGCACGTTGAATTCGCACGCACGCCCCTACTCGTGTCAACGCACATAAATTGAACAGACATAGGGCACATTAAGCTTGGGCACGTGGGCAGGAATGACGATGGACGATGATGAACGATGGTTCATATGTGCGGGGTCACAGTCACCCGCTAATAACCCGTACCTTTTTTTTTTGTTTTACCAAATAAAAACGCCATCAATATCTCTCGGGGTAGGCGCATCCACAATGGACAGCTCATCACAGCCTTTGCACGCATCCATCCAACCAGGACTGCATTGCGCACGCAAGCATCGTCTTTCTCTGCGGCTGCCTATGACTTTTAGCCTACAGTCTTGCACACAATTTGCAACGCGTGCCACATGTTATTCATTACAGCACGAGAACCACTGCTAGCTTCGCAGGCAATAATAAGTCGATCAATTGGCTTCCCTACTTGAATATCCGCCAAAATGTGTCATTTTATTTCAGCAGCCTCGCCGTTTTTTGGAGTAAACACGCCCATGCGCAACCATCTAATGGCTTAACAGATGTGTTCGAAGTGAGAAAAAGCGGTGCATTCTACCCAATAAAATACATCTGCTTGAATTCTCCACTTAGATAAAACATTACTAAAATTATGTTCATTTATAGTCCCCATAGACGTCAGTTAACCAGCCGCATTTGTTTAAGCATGCCTAGACCTTGGTTCGCTTTAGACCTTTAAGACCTTCTGGGTCCCATCAGCGGTCCTGCTAAACAAATGTCAAAAGGTTATTATTATTGTTGGTAACAGCATTCTCTCCATTGTATTGGGTAGGTCGATGGTAATAAAGGACACATTGTGTGTTTGCTTTGGCGGCAGTGTCGTTCTGGCAAGAACGCGATGATGGTCAGGGGCTATGATAACCACACACGCCTTTGTTGCTAAAGTAGTTGCAAGCTCATAGAATGGTCTTGTGTAAAAATGGCTATCCCCTTTGGCAAATGCGTTCAGTGTCCCAAAGGCAACTCGCAAAGCGAAACAGTTAATACCTGAACAATCATAACGGGAACAAAAAAATTACCATTGTTTCGTTTTTAAACTTAGTAGCGTACATGTAAAAAAAAAATGTTAACCCTGAAATTGACCCGCCGGCCGAATCGTCGACGACATATCTTGTGAAGTCGGCGACCAAGGTAAATCATTAACTTCGTGTCATATTGACGGAGGGTAGAACAGAACTATATTGCGTACGCCACTTTACGTTATTATGTATAACCCACCACATATATGTAAACCTGCAAACATATGTAACAAAACACACACAACGCGCGCCTTATTTGTGCTGCCAGTTCACAAACAAGTGGCAGGCAGCGAGTGGCTCAATCTCCATGATGATTCATCACCATCCTCCTCCTACTCATCATCATCATCTTCTTCTTCCTTACAACCGCCGTCGTATCGAGCCTGAACCCCGCGCGTTGGGTCAGAACCGTCGCAATCGCGGATCCTCACCGAGCAGGAGGAGTTTGACCTCCTTCGCCGCCTTCTCCCCGTCCTCCCGAAGATTGCGGTCGATCATCTTGGACCTCTCCACCGCAGCTTTGTCTTCGTTGCTCATGGTACAGCCCATGGCTGTGGCGTGCAGGGCGGCTGGCTGGCTCCCTCGCTCGTCCACACGGAGCGCACAAACTCCAGGCTCGCCTCGAGCTCCTCTTCAATCGCTCCGCGTGGAACTCTTTGACTGCTGCCGCTGTTGCTGCTCGCAGGCAGGTGGAGAGAGACGGAGGGAAAGGAAGAGTCATATTCTTGGTTCTTTCGGTAAAGTCACGTAGAAGGGAAATAATACGAATGAAACAAAATAATATTATCACGACGTTTCGGCCACAACGCAAGCGAGCCGTCCTCAGGTGAAGAACGGCTTGCTTGCGTTTGTGGCCGAAACATCGTGAGAATTTTATTATGTTTTTTTTATTTTTTTTATTTCCCTTCTACGTGGCTTTACCGAAAGAATCAAGAATATGAATCCCTGCAGTCACGAAAGCTTTCAATCGAAAAAGAAGAGAGAGTCGTAAGGCTTTCGGGGAACAAGATTGTTCACCATAACGGTTTGGGATAGTACGCACAAAGAGGATTGTGACACGCACATCTGTTAAAAAAATAGCTTCACACACAGAAGGGTAGACAGAGATAGCGGGTACTCACACAGACAGAGAGTACTCACACAGAGAGAGAGTACTCAAACAGAGAGAAATAACTCACACAGAGAGAAAGTACTCACACAGAGGGAATACTCACAGAGAGAGAGAGAGTACTCACAGAGAGAGAGAGTACTCACAGAGAGTGTAGTCAGACAGAGAGAGTACTCACACACAGAGAGAGTACTCACACAGAGAGAGTACTCACACAGAGAGAGAATACTCACAGAGAGTACGCACACAGAGAGAGAATACTTACACAGAGAGATAGAGGATACTCACAGAGAGAGAGAGTACTCACACAGAGAGAGAATACTCACACAGAGAGAGAATACTCACACAGAGAGTACTCACACAGAGAGACTACTCACACAGAGAGTACTCTCACAGCGAGAGTACTTACACAGGGAGAGTACTCACAGAGAGAGAGTACTCACAGAGAGAGAGAGTACTCACAGAGAGAGTACTCACACAGAGAGAGAATACTCACACAGAGAGAGAGTAGTCACAGAGAGAGTACTCACACAGAGAGAGAGAGTACTCAGCCAGAGAGAGAGTACTTACACAGAGAGAGAGTACTCAGACAGAGAGAGTACTAACACAGAGAGAGAATACTCACAGAGAGAGAGTACTCACACATAGAGAGAGAGTACTCACACAGAAAGAGAATACTCACAGAGAGAGAGAATACTCACAGAGAGAGAGTACTCACAAAGAGAGGGAATACTCACAGAGAGAGAATACTCACAGAGAGAGAGTACTCACAGAGAGAGACTAATCAGAGAGTGAGAGAGTACTCACACAGAGAGGGAGTACTCACACAGAGAGAGAGTACTCACACGGAGAGAGAATACTCACAGAGAGAGAGTACTCACACAGAGAGAGAATACTCACACAGAGAAAGAGTACTCACACAGAGAGAGTACTCACAGAGAGAGAATACTCACACAGAGAGAGAGTACTCGCACACAGAGAGGGTACTCACACACAGAGAGCGAATACTCACAGAGAGTGAATAATCACAGAGAGAGAGAGAGAGTACTCACAGAGAGAGAGAGTACTCACACAGAGAGAGAATACTCACACAGAGATAGAGTACTCACAGAGAGAATACTCACACAGAGAAAGAGTACTCACACAGAGAGAGAGAGTACTCAGACAGAGAGAGAGTACTCACACATAGAGAGAGAGTACTCACACAGAAAGAGAATACTCACAGAGAGAGAGAATACTCACAGAGAGAGAGAGTACTCACAAAGAGAGGGAATACTCACAGAGAGAGAATACTCACAGAGAGAGAGTACTCACAGAGAGAGACTAATCAGAGAGTGAGAGAGTACTCACACAGAGAGGGAGTACTCACACAGAGAGAGAGTACTCACACGGAGAGAGAATACTCACAGAGAGAGAGTACTCACACAGAGAGAGAATACTCACACAGAGAAAGAGTACTCACACAGAGAGAGTACTCACAGAGAGAGAATACTCACACAGAGAGAGAGTACTCGCACACAGAGAGGGTACTCACACACAGAGAGCGAATACTCACAGAGAGCGAATAATCACACACACAGAGAGAGAGAGAGAGTACTCACAGAGAGAGAGAGTACTCACACAGAGAGAGAATACTCACACAGAGATAGAGTACTCACAGAGAGAATACTCACACAGAGAAAGAGTACTCACACAGAGAGAGAGAGAGTACTCAGACAGAGAGAGATTACTCACACAGAGAGAGAGTACTCACAGAGAGAGAGTACTCACACAGAGAGAGAGTACTCACACAGAGAGAGAGTACTCACACAGAGAGAGTATTCACAGAGAGAGAGTACTCACAGAGAGAGAATACTCACACAGAGAGAGTACTCACAGAGAGAGAGTACTCACAGAGAGAGAATACTCACACAGAGAGAGAGTACTCGCACACAGAGAGGGTACTCACACACAGAGAGGGAATACTCACAGAGAGCGAATAATCACACACACAGAGAGAGTACTCACAGAGAGAGAGAGTACTCACACAGAGAGAGAATACTCACACAGAGAGAGAGTACTCACACAGAGAGAGAGTACTCACAGAGAGAGTACTCACACAGAGAAAGAGTACTCACACAGAGAGAGAGAGTACTCAGACAGAGAGAGAATACTCACACAGAGAGAGAGAGTACTCACAGAGAGAGAGAGTACTCACACAGAGAGAGAGTACTCACACAGAGAGAGAGTACTCACACAGAGAGAGAGAGTACTCACACAGAGAGAGAGTACTCACACAGAGAGAGAGTACTCACACAGAGAGAGGGTATTCACAGAGAGAGAGTACTCACAGAGAGAGAGTACTCACACAGAGAGAGTACTCACAGAGAGAGAGTACTCACAGAGAGAAAGAGTACTCACACAGAGAGAGAGTACTCACACAGAGAGAGTACTCACACGGAGAGAGAATACTCACACAGAGAGAGAGTATTCACAGAGAGTATTCACACAGAGAGAGTACTCACAGAGAGAGAGTACTCACACAGAGAGAGAGTACTCACACACAGAGTACTCACACAGAGAGAGTACTTACACAGAGAGAGTACTCACAGAGAGAGAGTACTTACACACAGAGGGTACTTGAAGAGATGGGAGTCCACAATACCGCTGTGTAGGACAAGGAGAGACGAGGTGTGGTGGTAACGCAAGTGTCGACTCACTCACTCCACGTACTCAGAAAGAGGTGTGCGATGGACTAATTTCAGAGCGGCTACTCACGCTAAGAGGAGAGAGGTAACGGGTCACACGAGTGTGGGTGGACTCACCAAGAAGCGATGGATACTTTTTTCCCACCCCACAGAAGGAGCCAGAGGTACGGTCACACGCACTAAATAATTAAACTCCAAAACCTAACGGAAATTGCACTGTGGTGCTTATGTAATGAATGTACAAACTCTGTAGTAAACGCGTTTCGGAATCTGATATCGTGTGATTATTGCCCATCAATCACCCAGCTAGTTATGTCGCTACTATTAATGTGTATGTGTGTGTTTGCAGCTTCTTACCTTTGTGTATTCGGTTTTTCCGCAAAAACAATCCCCCCCGCCACCCCAAAATAATGAGAACAAACAACGCGAACACGCGCAGAGTCCTGGGGAGCGCAGCTCTGAACGCAGCCCTCTCTCACCACACAAGAGGACCTCTCTCTCTCTCACACACACACAGCACACACACTGAAGATCCCTTCTCTCTCACTCACACGAATCGCGTTCAGCACCGCCCCAAGTCCTTCCCCCCCCCCACCACTCCTCCACCAGCCAAGCGAAGCACAGCACGATTCTGTTGGCCGAGAGCGACTCCCCACCCCACCACCACCACACTCTCTCGCTCTCTCTCTCGCTCTCCTCCACCCCACGCTCTCTTCTCCCTCCCCGAGTCCCTTTGCACCACCCACAAAGGCCGGATGCGCGGCTTGCATCTCGCAGCGCAGTAGGGGACGCTGGAACCAAAGGGCAGGCTCGCGAACAATTGAAGCTATTAAACTGACGTCGATTATCGATTACATATAATAATTATCCGGATAATCTCATCATTATTTGAAATAGCTTCTTATTTGTTTTACACGCTCTAGATTGACGTGATTTTAGGCGTTGCGTTAATGTGGGGGTTTTTCGTCTTTTGAATTTGTTTACTATAAGAAATTGGTTTAAATAAACATACAAATGGACGAAAATGAATATCCTCCTTTTAAAAAGTTAGCGCATTTACTGTACCGTACTTATTACTTCAATCTCGAAGACTCTGCATGGCGTGATGATAGCGGGGTGTATAATTGGAGGTGATTATTCAGTCTGAAATCAACTCCCATCAATTTTGTGGATTTGCTCTCCAACACACCGGTGTGCTGTACTAGTAACGAATGGGCATGTTCTGTTTACGTAACAAACCTTACTAATTGGCTGTGTCGGGTGGTGGCGGGTTTAACGACACATTAATATATTTACGCGATCTAACCCACAACACCTCTATTATGGGCAACTCCCATCAGTTGTGATGGAGGTTCGCCGGATCGGCCCGGGACCGCCGGATAATGTTGGAAGCCGGATAATCGCGTGCCAGATAATAGATGATGATCTAATGTGTATTTTTTTACCAGGATAACACCCACTGGGGCTATATCGCTCTTTTTTTTTCAAGAAGCGACCTGGCCACAAATGGTAGTTCAACGTGAGTGTTGTATCATCACGTGGGAACGTATAGCAACTAAATACGATGAACGCATGTTGTTGATTCTAAATGTGCAGGGAAAGCCCGGAGGATCCCGAGAATATTCCACGCAATCACGGGGAGAGAGAGGACATGCAAAGTTCAAATACACAAGCGTTCGTGTCAGGATTGAACGCACGACCTCCTGTATACCAGGCGAGGTAGTTAACATCTCGCCACTGTGGCGCCGCTTTGTACCCCCCCCCCCCCCTCAATAAAAAAACCTGGCATTGACACCAGGGATGTAGAGTTAATTGAAACACGTAACATAGCCACGTTCAAAATACAAAACGGTTGTAATAATCATTGCAATTCGCAGTGTCTACACTGGTGTCAATCCTCATACAATGCTCTACGTATGTAACTGAATGGTTTGTTCAATAAAAAAATTTTGGGGACCCCCCCCCCCCGGCTAAATTATTGTTTGGCTGTAAGACATCTGAGTAGAAAGAATCGCAAACTGCTGTGATGAAATTACCCACCCACCTACCCACCCACCTACCCACCCACCTACCCACCCACCTACCCACCTACCCACCCACCTACCCACCCACCTACCTACCTACCCACCCACCCACCTACCCACCTACCCACCCACCTACCCACTCACCTACCCACCTACCCACCCACCTACCCACCTAAATTACCCACCTACCCACCCACCTACCCACCCACCTACCCACCCACCTACCCACCTACCCACCTAAATTACCCACCTAACCACCTAAATGAGGATACCAAAAATTTAATTAGATTTCTGAAATACAACACTGTACTGCAAACATGCTCGCTCACACGTTAACGTGGTAAGGATAGCATGATAATCCTAGTAACAGTAGTGCAGAACTTGATACGGCGTGCACGTGTTGATACTAGTACGGAAATGCACACAATGCGCAGGTGTTCTCATCCGGAGGCTGCTCATTCATTAAAAAATTCGTATATGAGCTGGTGGAGCGGTGGCGCAGTGGTTAGCACACTACGCTACAAACTCGGCAACCTGAGTTCCAACTGTCGGCCACGGCGAACATCATTGGTAGTGATACTGCATCTCAACTCCCAACGCACATGGGCCAGAGTGGTTGAAGTATGGCAAAACAAACCTCTCAGAACCAACGAAGCGTGGGAAGTCCTTCATCCTGCCAGGGATGGTGTGAGAAAAGATCTGCAAATTATTATGAATACTGCAATACAATCGAGAATTATTTTCAAGTCGATGATTTCATGCTGACGTTTAACGACTGATAACACAATCATTGGCGGTAAAGGCATTGAACTCCAAAGCAACGACGACAATACAAACAACTGCAATAATGTATTGCAGAATTATTATTAGAGGCCTTCGTCCAGCAGTGGATTGACCATGGCTGATGATGCTGATGAATAACCATAAACGTGACGAATGCGTGGAAATAGTCTGCGAAGACAATGATGATGAAAGTTAGCCGTGAAATACTGAACGTGTAATTGAACTAGCCTTCTGCATGTCACATACTGTACATAGATAGGAAAAAACGTTGGAAAAATATATTGGTGTTTTGTGTACGGCTAGTGTTGGATTTTTGGTCAAGTGATTTATGTTCGTGAATGAAGAGTAGGCCAAATACCCTGTAGTATGGTGTGCTTTCGAGCTCCCTCTAGTGTAGGCCATTATCCAGTAATGTCGCGGGCAAACCATTGCAGGGCGGCACATTTAGGTTCTCACAAATTCAACACAGGTTGTGCGCCTAAGGGAAAACAATTATGTTCACTATCAATGCCATCTGGTGGAGCAACTGGGATACGTGACCCTACCGCGCCCACGGAAAGCCTGTGGTGTCCTTGGCTGTACCTATCATAACCGGATCCCACCCGTCATTAAACTGACATTAAATTAAATTATTGAAATAGAGGTCATGAGTCAAAGCGCTTGTGTTCATTCAAAACCGTTCAGTTGTAAAGTGTCACAGGGAACCAATGGTGTAAAGTGCAATCCATAACTACACGGTGTATATCAATAAAGGTATCATCCATCACTAGATAATTAAAATTACACGGCAGTTTCAGCGAGGTCAAATGTCAAGTTTCAAGTTTATGTTGTTTAACCAGGATAGTTTAATTTGCAAAAGTGACCTGGAGCATTGGTCTGCCAACACAGGGCTATGATTGCAATGTATAGTTCAAATTGAGTGATTTATTTTCGTTCCTTGTTCATGTTTTTCAATAATTTCCCTTGTGTTTCACGTAATAATTGCTAATTCTGCTTGTTTATCCACAAAAGCCTCACTGAGTCTCATGCCTCTCCTTCAGAAGGAAACTACCAAGCTATTAGAGTAAGGGGACTATTACAATTGAGCAACTTGTCGAATTTTCTCAAATTTGGACCCTGACTCCAGCCGGCACACAATGGCCTTCATTGCGAATTACGTCAGGGGATATTAAACGTCCCCTGTGAAGCAAAGTCATTACACCCGCAATAATAATCAGGGCGGCCGCAGGATTTGAATTGGGACGTTTCGCAACAAGCGGCAGACACGCTACCCGCTGGGTCACTGCCCCAAACGTCGGTACAATTATTCACACACACACACACACTTGGGGATGAATTCATATTTTATTGGACGAGTTTAATCTCTGCACGTGTTCGCCCCGGGCTTGTCAACACATATTATATCAGTGATTTTTCAATACTTCTGCTAAGTGCTGTTGAAGATTACTCAAACTTTTCGTTACGAATAAATGTAATCTCAAACATACACATCGCCAACATTTCAACCACGCGAAATCTTATTCTGTAATATTGTATGATGCGTTCATGAACACCTTGTGTACGCCAGTTATTATCTCTGCTCACCCTTTGCTCTGAAGAAGCGCCGTTTCCCGAAACGTCAGCCTGTCGTATATTTGTGCTGTGATAATACAGTGCCCCATTTTGTGCCGACTTAGCATATCCGCTGACTTTGACGGCTGATTGACCGATTACAATGGGTACGGAGCAAAAGTTAACACATTGGCATAAGCAAAAGCGGAACCTGACATACGCCTCACGATAAGTCGTTCCGTTTTTTCCCCATTTTTTTATATTTACAATGTATAGGCACCCAAGGATGGCCTCGTGACAAACTGGCATCAAGGAATTGGACACATTGCCGCGTTGCAGATTTCTATTAAGTGATAGCGTGGCTGTCAGGATGTCCATAAATCCATAAAGTTCCATGATGGTATTGTAGAACCACAACAAAAACCGCAAACAAAATTGTATGAAACTTTTATTTATTTGAGGTACGTTTATGCTTTCACAATTGTTTTCGTATCGAATTTGTGCCACCATAATGTAATGTGCACATTCAACAAAGGAGACTTTATTGGAGAGTGTAGAGGCATGTGGTGTATACATATACGGTAACGTGGGGAGCGCCGGTGTAATGGTTAGCGCACAGCACTATGAAACCAGAAATCTGAGTTGAATTCTGCACGACGTTTTACATCAGTGGCGAGTGTCTGCACGTGACATTGCTACATCGCCAACTCGCGAAAACCAACGCGGTGAAGTATGGTCAAACAGCCCTCAAAAGCTGACTAAGGGTCGTACATTGTGTATACTACAAACTGTTCAGCAAAGTGAGCTTCCACACGACACTTCGCTGCAAGGGATGGTCAAGAATAATGATGGAGTGGCAGCCAATAAATGGAACGCGTCCGAGCGGTTGACCACAATCGGGGGAGATGGAGCGCTGAAATTCGCTTATGCGGAGGTGCTGGGTGGATTATTACATCGAAGGATCGGCGATGGCTTGTGGAGGCTTTCAGTGACTATTGATGATGCTGATTGTGTTCATGGTTGCATCGTGTGTTACTGCAGAGTTCGGGGAGCAGTGAGAGCTTGACCAGAATAAACTGGAATTCGTAGCCGCAGTGAGTTAAGGAAGAAATGGTAAATGCTGACGCAGAAATTCAGTCGAGTCTGCCTTTTACTTAGCAGGTAAAAAAAATGCTCGTTAAATATGCGTGTCAT